CACATCAGATTACTCTGATGCACGCAAGCGAACACTTACAATATGCAGGAAAAAGAAAAAAAAAAAACAAACAAACCACTGCAACGAGTGCATCGTTTCGAGATGCTACTTTCAGGTTCGTCGGCCAGCTACTGGGTAAATTCGATGCGAAACTAATGTTGGCTAATGTGCTCGTGTCCGAAACCGCTTGCATTCCTGTCAAACAGTTACGAGCAATCAGGATGGTTGCTAATCCTGTTGGCAGTGCTCAGTGATGTAAAAAGCACTGCAATTACGAATGAAAATGACAACATCCTAGCAGTGTGGAGTTCGGAAAAGCCAACAACCGCCGCTGATGAGCGTTTACGAAATACCACATACCAATTGGCCGATGAACTCACACTTCAGTTTCAGCTAGTACTGTTTTTAAGCGGGAAAAAACTGTCTTCTAACAATCAAAAAAATACACACGCGCATCGCCTCAGTTCGAGCAATAAATACAAAGTTCTTCGAAACTCGCAAAGCAGCATCCGCCAGAGCTGATAGCATCTACTGGAAAATGTGACGTACGCGAAATACAGAGAAAAATTCAATCATTGTCTTACTCTCTTGCTTAGGACATTCTCTTGCTTTAGTTGAATTTTGTGTCCCCTATAATTCCGAGAGGAAAGCAAAGGCGCGAGAACTCTTCCTCCAGTCTCCACAGTACAATCCGCACTGCACAGAAAAGCACAGTGCCAAAAATAATTGCTTATGTCAATCATTTCGAGTTTCTTTCAGCAACTGTTTGACCCAGCCACAATCAAAATTTCTGATAATTTTTATAGCAATTTATAATCATGGACAAACTGAAACAATATAGCAGCTTAGCAAAAAAACCACTTTCGCATATAAACAAATGTTCAATAACAGCAGCAGTAACAAAAGACAACTGCAAAATACCAATTTTTCAGAAACAGAGAGCATGAGAGTTAAGCAACGATTATCACAACTTGGAAATCGCCGGAACTACAGGGAAGAAGAAATCCACATAATGTTGACAAGCTTCTAATGAAGAATTGGGGGACGAGACATTTACAAACGCAGAACATGAGATACTCGGTGGTTTTAGGGCATTAACAACACCTCTCTTTACCGCGCTGCACAGCACAGGGGGTTACATCAGAAACTAAAACTCGCTCATACTTCACTTCCTGTGAGGAACGGTGGCACTTAGAGGTAGCCGGAGGTGCACAGTGCACTGACAGCAGCTACCCGCTGACTCTTCTGAATTTTGCTTACATGAAACCGATGAAGATACAAACCGGAATCCTTTCCACTGGGAGAAATCGAAGTCCTAGCCTACGACCTAAATGCCACTGCGTAAAGTCCACTAGCGTTACAGACAATACTTTTATCAAAATTATTATCAACATATATTTTCCATTAAAAGAATTAGCTTTAAAACCGAAGATGAGGTTTATTTTTGATAATGTAACGATCAAGTGCTTCCCAGAAACGTGCCAATATAGCGCGATCCAAATGTCGCTTCGTGCGTGACAGCTTCAGGATACTGACGCTCCACTTCGCTATATTATCATCTACTTTTTGATCATCAAACATCAGATGGAAAGCTGAAACATTGGCAAATATGTCCGTGGGACTACCGTTCCACCGCCAGCCCTTGAACTGCCATGCTGGACCCTGAAACAGCCTTTCACGTTTGCTTTTCTCAACTGCTGTGCAGCAATTTCTAAAAGCAAGGCAACCTATGTTAATAAAAACGGCGAACGAAAATCTCATGCTGTGTTGCTATAAAACTTATTTTTAAAAATAATCCTGTTCCAAAACTTCAATCAATTTGATGCAGATGAAACGGCGAACGCTGCATCGAAAGCCTGAATTCGCCTCTTTTCATGTTTAACCGGAACAAGTGCATTTTCAAACATGCTTCGTTAAATGAGTTTGTTAAAAGCACATGAGTCATCACAACACAATGCGGTGTGCTGCTCGGACGAATACTATGCAAAAAGCTTAATATGATTGTGGTGCTAACGAAATCTCCAGATTGCAGGGCTATCAAGAAAGTATATCAAAGATGCCTGGACGAAAACAGCAACAACTCGGCTCCATTCATCGTCCCCAAATTTGAAGGGATTATCAACAATTCTGTACGGAACAGTGACGCCATCCTGCTTCAGTCTCTGGATCAGTATTTCACTTTCCCTTCGACATGTTGCTTTCCTTTCTTCTGTTGCCACGAAGCGCATATCCTGAAAAAAAGAAAAAAAAACAAGCTCATAAAAGTTGCAGTTAGATGAACTTCCAAAAAATCTAGGCTGCGAGACTTCCCGGTGCGATCTTGCGTTTTTGCACTAGACTTGAAGCAGTCAGGTCGTTAACTGTAGGAATGGTTGTTGACTTTCATTTAACTTGCGCACTCACTGCCGCAAATTTTGCATAAAAGAAAATGAATAATTTGCGATGACCGACTGTTTATTGAAAACGACCTGGCTTTCCAAGTTAACAAATTTCAATGCCCAAAACCTTCACGTGCCTGTAACTAAGAACCACGTGTACTTACAACTGTACGTGAACAAGGGATATCCTCTTAATTTCAGTTTTCCAGCTTTTCTGGTTCCCGAGCTGGCAATTTTCCTGCCTGTACGTGAGACTCAGATGTGCGTGAAAATTGGTGCTAAGTTATTGGGATGGCATTTGACCACGAAACTTACTGGTAAGACTTCAGCATAAAAGCTGGCCTGGTTGCCGAGTTGAAATACCTTGACAGAAACGTACTCCACCGGGTCATCACAGTATGCTTTTTTGAATTTGCATATATGTTTACAACTGCATAAAAGCGACTCAACTACAGGCATAACTGCCTAGGCAGTGCGATGACACAACAGAGAATATAACCAGGCTGGCAATTAATATTATAACCAGTTGAGAG